TTGGTACATTTCTCAAGACATTTGCGTTTTGCAAATTTCCCAGAGAGTTTTAAAAAAGAAATTCTAAGAGGTGGCAAAATGGGATGGATTAAATGAAAGACTGAGGATAAAGGAGAGGAAAACAACTCATGGTTAGCCTGAACATTTGATTAGTCTGATCATCATGGGTTGAGCTCCAAAGAACCTACACTGAGGAGCTCATTTGTAGAATGGGGTTTTGTGTCATGCAAATTTGTCTGCTGCCAATGTGAAGGGTCTGTATCCATTCCATTAATTAATTTTAAAATGTAGTATCTGGCATTTCAAACATTTAAGAAAGCAGATTTCATTTCTTATGCGCACACTCTTCACAAATGCACTTCAGGGGAAAAAAACAAATGGCAATTAACATCTAAACCCAATCAAATCAGGACAAAAGCATAATAATCAACCCAAATTCACATCCTCGGCAACAAAACTTGTAATTTTTACTGATCAGAGATTACTATAGGCCTGATAGGATAAATAAAGGCGGCAGTGATCAGGCTTGTCCTGAAGAGGGCGACCCTGAACCCAGAGATAGCCGCCAACTGTAGGCTGGCGGCTAAGATACCGTTTTTGGGCAAGGTGCTCAAGTGGGTGGTGGCTGGGCAACTCCAGGTGCTTTTAGAGGAAACCGACCATCTAGACCCATTTCAGTCTGGCTTCAGGACTGTGAACTGAAACTGACTTGGTTGCCTTGTATGATGACCCGTGCAGGGAGAGGAACACGGGAGTGTGTCCCTGTTGGTTCCCCTTGACCTCTCAGCGGCTTTCAATATCATCAGCCATGGTATCCTTCTGGATAGGCTGGCCGGGTAGGAGGCACTGCTTGGCAGTGGTTCCTCTCCTACCTGACTGGCCAATTCCAGAAGGATGTGCTGGGGGATTGCGGCTCTACAGCATGGCAGTTATGCCTTGCAATTCTGCAGGGTTCCATTTTATCCCCCATGCAGTTCAACATCTACATGAAACTGCTGGAAGAGGTCATCCAAGGGTTTGGGCTGTGGAAATATCAGTATGCTGATGACACCCAGCTCTACCTCTCTTTTACATCCAATCCAGGTGAGGCAGTGGCTGTCCTTAACTGGTGCCTGGCTGGGGTAATGGGCTGGATGAGGGCCAATAAACTGAGGCTTAATCGAGACAAGGTCCTGTTCAAGGGTTCAGCTTTCCAGGTAGGTGATTTCAGCCCTGTTCTGGATGGGGCTCCACTCCCTCCTAAAGAATAGGGTGTACAGTTTGGGAGTGGTTTGGACTCTCTTGTGGCAGCAGTGGCGAGGAGTGCTTTTCTTCAGCTCTGGCTGATCTACCAACTGTGCCCTTACCTGGATGAGAGGTGCCTAGCAACAGTGATTCATGCTCTGGTAACCTCCCGGTTGGATTCCTGTAATGTGCTCTACGTGGGGCTGCCCTTGAAGACAGTCTGGATACTTCAGTTGGTTCAGAACAGAACTGCCAGGATGTTAATGGGGCCTGACATTTTATTCACATAAAATGCCGGTCCACTACCATCTACACTGGCTGCCAAATGAAGTTGTTGCCAATTGCAGCACCCCAAAACACCCCAAAAGTAGTTGGCCAGAGGGAAGCCACATAGTAAGAACACCAGAGTTATACTGACTCAGAAGGGAGTGGGGATGAAAACAAAAAGAACTTTGTGTAACCCACAGCTAACATGCTAGCCTGACCTCGAGTACAGTAGTCAAAGGGACAGCGGAAACCAGTTCTAGCCACCATGAAAGTTGCAAATGTGCAGGGAGAAAGAACATGGCAAGCCTGTGTGAATCTCAAGCAGATAAGAAATAGACATGGGAAATGTCTGGTCCTTGACAGAAGAAAAGACTCTTTGAAGTTAACAGCACTAGGGGTGTGGCTACATTGATGTATTGATGCATTAGATGTGTATTAGGTGACCTAACTGCTTACCTAGGGTATAAAACGCATGTACCGGGTGCAAATTTTGAGGAACTGCTTTGGGCTGAATGTCCCCTTTCATCTCCCTTTATTCTATAGTGCACTAGAATAAAGCTGGTTTTGGCTCTAAGTCTCGTCTCAGGCTCCTTTTGACTCAGGTCTGGGGTCCACCCGGGTTTGCCCTAGCTGTTGATTGGTTGAATTCGATAACAAAGTCCGGGCCCAATTTAAGGTGCTGGTTATGACCTATGAAGCCCTAAATGACCTGGGTCCTAGATAACTCCTTCCCTATGTGCCTTCTTGCCCCTTAAGATCAGAGGCAGATGACCTTCTCTGGTAGCCCTCCTTGAAGGAGATTAGGAGGGTGGTTACCCAGAGAAGGGCCTTCTCTGTGGTGGTTCCCAATTATGGAATACGCTCCTCAAAGAGGTTTGGCTGGCGCCAATGCTTTATTCCATGGATCTCAAACTATAGCCCACGGGTTGGATCCGGCCTGCCGTGCCCATTTATCCAGCCTGCCATAGCTCGCCATGTGTGTGCGCATGTGGCGAGGTGCTGGCTTGCTCGCAAGGAGATCGTTTTGGACTCTCTCGGAGAAAAGGATCTCCTGGCAAGGTGCTGGCTTGCTCACAAGCCAGAGCCTTGCCAGGAGATCCTTTTCTCCAAGTGAGGGGGAGATTGTTGTGGCCTCGCTCGGAGAAAAGGATCTCCATGCAAGCAAGCCACCGCTGGGTGCATGCATGGCGCAGCGCCAGGAAAAGGATCTCTGCGCACGTATGCCCCTGCCTTTATGTGCACGCGCATGCGCACACAACCTCCCTGCCCCGGCCTGTGCCTCCCACCCACACCGCCTTGGCAGCCCGCACCCATCCCTGGCACCTTTCAACCAGCCCCCTATTCAAAAAGTTTGAGGACCTCTGCTTTATCCCTTTTGGTGCCAGGTGAAAATATTTTTATTTTCCCATTATTTTAATGTTTAACAAGTTTTAAGGTGTCTTTTATTGATTGGAAGTTTTGGATGTTGTGCTCTATTTTATTTTGTGTTGTTTTTACTGTAAAACTGTCCTAAGACACTTGTAGTAGATGGTATATAAAAGCTATAAATAAATAAATAAGGAAGGAAGGTTTGAACCTTTCATAAAAAGACAAACTTTCACTTGGGGTGCAGCTGTATGTCACAGATTCAGTCAACAACCTTACAAATTTATTGATTTACTTTATGACATTTCTGCGTCACTGCATAATGAAGTTTTCTGGGGGCTTAGAATGAACAAAGATAAAGCAATTTAAAGACAAAACAGAACATAAAACCATACTACCAGAAGCAACATAAAATGTAATAACCAAAAACAAAAAAAACCTCACAGTACCTCAAAAAATTAAGCACCGAGATATTAAAGCTGAAAGGTCCACTTTACATGAGTTATTTAAATGGCCTGGGTAAAATCTTGCTCTTGTGTGGAAACGACCACAGGGATACCCACCTCTTTCATGGCAAATTACATTTGTCAGGTAATTTTTGACCTAGTTTGCTAAAAAGCTTAACTCTGCAACATGGAACACTGGAGACAGGAAGGACATTGACCACATGTAAAGCTTCACGGTGACTGGGTATCACAATGGTTGGGTATAAAGAGATTTGGAGAGTTATTCCTTCAAGAACAACCCTCCCTCTGGTGCTCCTGCTCCAAAAAGGGAGAGAAACTGGGCATGTCTGTTTCCCAACAATAAAATCTTTCTAGACATCTTTAGTAACAGTGACCCATTTTAATCTCTTTTAAAGATGTGCTATTTACTTTTGTATTAAGAATTGCATTCTAAGTTTATGTATTTGCATCTATACTGCAGAAGTAAGTGGCAGGGTTGACTGCTGAGTTATACAAGGCCCAGTACGTTAACACTTCTGTTACATTCCACTGTACGTCTTGCTTACACTTTTCTGCATTCAAGTTCCCTAACGTAGCTTACACGTAGAAAACCTTGTGCAGCACTGTATTTCTTCCTACTTTCCAATGCCAGCTTTCTTTTGGTGGTTCTTTGACTGTGCCTAAGAGCATGTGCTTCGTTTTTTAACGTATACAGAAAAATATTTATTTCCGTATTGCTTAATGCTACCAACCTGGACGCTTGACAGTAAGGATTAAAAATGGCTCCTTCCTCCCTACTTGGTTATTGGAAAGACCCTGAAAGGCAATCTGTCTTGTGAAGCCACACTTTACAGTCTGCATAAAAGTGCCACGATTCTCAGTCCTCCCTCCAACTTAATTGAAAGCGCATAATGTCACACAACAGGGGAAATGTAAACTGTAAGCACACACAGTAAATCACTGCACAAGCAACCAGCTTTGCAGCGAATGGGCACCAAATGATTATGGGGGCCAAAAAGCAATTTGAACACACAAATACTTTCAGGTTGCAGAACAGCAACTTATTCAGAGCAGAGAGAGAGAGAGAGAGAGAGAGAGAGAGAGAGAGAGAGAGAGAGAGAGGATGCAAGGTACTTAGTAGTACTAGAATTGGATTTGAGGCAGGTCAATTCAGTCAATTTGTGAAATAGGAGCCTTTTTATAATGATTTCGATTTTATCATGACCTTGAATAGAAAGACTGCTACTGATGCAAATGTAGATTAAATGCATGGTTTCCTTTTAAGCAAATATAAACCTATGATCAGTAAAAATCACATGGCTGACCCTTCTGAATGAAATTACAGAAGACCTTAACCAAAGTTAGTAGTAAGATTCTCTCTTAACATGAAAAAAAAAAATTGATTTAGGAATTAAGGAACGTAGCTTCTTAACATCCCAATCATGATTCTGGTATATTTCCCAACCAGGCCCAAGTTCTCTACACGCTTACAGAATACCACTGCTTGTGCAGTTGTACACATTGTGCAGCGCTACCAAGAGTGTTCACTAGTCATTGACATGCTCCTGCACTAAGTCTTAGAGGCAGGCCAGCCACCAAAAACCCCAGACTTCAAAATGCAATGCAGGAGCTCTACCATTTTGTTATGACTGTTATATTTATGAATGCATTCACTGGTTCCCATGCTTTGATCTTTACCTCTCAACAGGAGCATGCTGATGGGGTGGCTTGTTTATCCGTGCATACAGTCCTTCCAAGTGGTCCCTGTTGACAGGTGCTGGAGGGTTATCACACCCAAACGTTTCTGCAACAGGTGGAGAAGATGGCTGATAGGCACTGACCCCTGGATATATTTCTCGGAAGTGATTCACTCGTGCATAATTTGGGTCTGTCTCATCATCATCAATATCAGGGGGTGGACCCCCAGCACCAGTGGAATATTCTGCAAGTGCTCTGGTCTGCTTCTGCCGTAGCTCCTGATGCTTTGCCCCAATCCTAGAAACAAAACAACCAATACTAGCTTAACTTAGAGGTATTATTTTAATACCTCTGCAGTTGTGAGCTCCCTTCACAAAAGAGCTTAGGGTTAGTCTGTATTAAACAAAGAACAATGGACATAAACAAAACAAAGGCCAGTTAAAATTTTAGGGAATATTCAATGCTTTATCATCATGCTCTAGGACTGCACAGGATATATCAAGCAAGCAGGTCAATCACAAATCCAGCATGATTCACAAGCGCTAAGTACTTGGTCTACACACAGACTTTTGCACACTGGTGGCTCATGTGCTCATATATAACCATAATTTGCACAAGCATGCAAGACATTGAAAATTATGAAAAGGGGTCCTTTACAGCAGCTCATAGATGCCTGTTAAATAATTCTATCTCTTTAACAGCTCAATTAACCAACAATGTTATCATTGGTAGTTTCTCCATATGTTCCCTCATCCCCAAGATTTTGCTGCATATACTCATTTGAGAAATACAATGATATGAGAACACAAGCGCAGAGCTTAGTTGTCTGAAAAGTCAAAGCACAGGCACAAAGTATTGGGGGGAGGTTTAGCATCCCCACCCCCCATTTAAACGGGGAGACATAATACCTTATTATACAGGAGCGAGGGACAGAGTAAGACAGTGAAGAAATGAATAGAAGCCTGACAGAGATGAATTGGTACATATAAGTGAATTAAAGACTATTACTGGCAGTACTCCACTGTGATAAAGCTTTAAGTGGTATTACAAAATGCTGCGGCTAATCAGTGCCATTGTGTAATCTGTTGGGAATAGGAACAGTAAAGCACACCCAGGTATAATTTCAAACCTAGCCAAATTCAGATGATTCAACATTTGCTTTGCAACTGAAAACTTTAAACAAGGCACTATTAATAATACGAAACTTAATGTTCAGCTGCCTCACTCCATAATTAAAGCCACAGAAAAGATCACAGCAACAAGATGAGCTTCGTATATAGAGAGCAGAGAATGAAAAGCAAGAGGGGGATTAAAGCACAGGAAAGCTGCCAATTAAAAAGTCAGGATTTACCCACCATTATTAAATTCTGAAGCAAAGAAGACGTTCCTGGAAGCAAATGGGTAGAGAGGATGTATAAAAGAATGGCAAGAGAATAATACATGTTGTTACACCATCACCTTTTGTAACTGGAAAACATTAAGAACAGTAAAGTAGCAGCTGAATGACAAATTAGAACAAAAATGGCCTTCAGTAGCAGTGCAGGAAAATAACTAAAACAGAAAGATGCCTCACATAAGGGAAAAGACAAGGAATGAAGACTGCAAGGTTTAAACTTGCAACTGTGAAATGTGCTTATAAAATTATTATTTGGAGGGGTCTACTAAGAATGAAAGTGAAATCACAGGGCCTATGTGTGTAGCTTTACATGTATAGCTAAAAATGAATGTGTGGATGTAAATGAGGTGTTTGTAACCCATGACTGGTTGCAGCTCTCTGGTGTATGTGCATTGAGCAACTTCGCTTGACTACTGTGTAAAAGGCTAGAGTCCAAATGGCAATATGTGACGCATGTAGTTTCTTACTGGTGCTAGAAAACTGGAGATGAGAGTCACTTCTGTAGATGCAGTGTAAGTCCAGCATCTCTGAGATTCACAGGTAGTGGTCCAACAAGATTGGCTTTGCTTACTCAGCCATTATGTGCTAGGGCTGCTGACCCCTCTCCTCCCGATCTGTTCCATACCAGCTGATACACAGTCTCCTCTGCAGCACATCCCCAGCAGTAGGTCAAAGGGCTTGCTAAAGCCGGTCTCATCTGAATACACCAAAGTACCCTTCCCATCTCCAGGGTTCCAGCAATGCATGGCCGCACAGAACTTTCTCGGTCAGAGAGCCCTTCTCCCATTCCTTCACTGTTCCGCAAACCGCAGCGTACTTCTGAGGACCACAATGTGTTTGGATAAGAGAATCACTGCAGTGCATATGGAGACAAGTGTCTACCTGATCAAGACTGAGCTGTCTACAGGTGGATAAATGTAACATTCAACAAGAGAGGCTGGTCGCATAAAGAAATGGTGAGTTAAAGAATCTCTAGTCGGTGTAGGTGTGACCATGCAACCACATCCCACAACATTATATGAACACAACAGCTTTGAAGAAGGGAATGAAAAGCGTGTGGAAGGCAGAATGAGACTGGGTTGCAACATCACATGGTCCCTTCTTGCAGTTCCGTCTGGTTCAAAGCTAGGTACTGAACCGGTTAAAGACGGAACCCTAATAAATCCTAAATATGATTAAGTCCAGTGTTGATAGAAGGGTAGATGGGATTCACTGCAAAACAGATTAGGTTGGAGATCACCCCCCACCCCCAACCTATCCCAAATTTTAGAAGAGTGAGGGAGAAGAGTCACTCTTTAGACTTCAGTAATCCCCAGGCAAACAAAAATAGGATTATACCATGGCTTGGAGATCACCGATGATGATGGTGGTGGTGGTGGTGGTGGTGGAGGAGGAGGATTTCCTTTTATTTCTAGAATGTAACAATTCCTAGCACACAAGTAATTAATGAACTGATTAAAAAAGAAGAGCAAGAGACTTAATCCTCCGAGGGTTCCTGAAAGCAAGATGAAAGAAAGATCACATAGCAGAGGGGGAAAGGAGGCCCACCCTAGCCATTCATTGCCTTGATGGAACAAATGCATAGATGTATAAGTGAAATTTTTAAACCTGATCAGTCTTTGTCAACAAAAACAATCCTTCCTGTGAGAGTGCAGTTTATGGATTCCACTGTAAGGGAATGCCTCCTGCATGGCAGAAAGTGAGATGGATTTCCATTACAAATGAAGCTAAAAACATCAATACAGAAAGAGATTTCAGAGGGGAGGATGGAAAGGGCAGCTGAACTGCTGTGCTCATATTCCTTCTTTTACATGTAGAGTATATACTTTCAGGAGGAATTGTTAAGCAAGAGAATAAGAGAATAAGACAAAGGCAGTGGCTTTGTTAAAAATTATATTAGCTAGTTAGTTAGCGATCATCCGTTTCTGACTGGTTCTGCTTTCTGCCATCAGAATTTTGCATAGCAACTGGACAGCACAAAGTGCTTGCAGGGATACCTGACTGCCTAAGGTAGGAGAGCCAGGTGCACAGTTAGTTACCAGTGTCCTGACTTCACTGAGATCAGTAGAATGCGGTACTGCAACTTAAATCATGTGAGAATCTCACTTAGCCATTTTATGTAACCTTTCACCTTATGTTTCTGTGCTTGTGAGCTCTGAGGCAAATTAGAAATTTCCCTACTTATATTAAAAATTTGTATCGTGCTGAAATCCACAGGTCTGAAATCTATATACTAGGTTAATTTCCAAAACAAAAAGACAAGCTTCTAGCTGCTTAACAGTGAAAAAAAATGTCATATTTGACAAATGTGGTAGGGAATATCAAGGTAGTTGGACACATTCACAAAAATGATCAGAAATCACTGACTTTTTAAAATAATCTGCAAGACTTCTTGAGGGATGTGATATCTTATAAAAATATTGTAATATATAATTAATTTTCTTCCCAATTGGTTCAAATGTGATCTTATTGGAAAATAATAAAATTACAGATCTACCTATCATGACTGAACAACTAAGCACTAAGAGAGGAATTCTTTCTGATTGTCCCATGGCACTTAATTTTGCACCTTGTACCATCAAAGAGGCCAATTTTACATAGTCAGACAGGATATTTTGTAAACACCCCATGCCATCTTGCAGATTGCTAAGCAGAAACTGTTCTTTAACCTTCAAGAACTGCCCTTATTCAAATCTATGATGCAACAGTTCTGGTCACCATACCTAGAAAGAACTATCATAGAGTTGGAAAAAGTGTAGAAAAGGGCAACTAAAATGATCAAGGGGCTGGAGTAATGCCCCCTCAAGAAAGATTTGACCAGCTGGGATTCTTTAGCTTGAAAAAAGGAAAGTGCAGGGAAATAGATTATAGGTGTACAAAATTAGGTATGGTGCAGCAAAAGTACATAGTGAGACTATTATTTCCTCTCCCTCTCCATACTGGAAACGAGGCTCACTCAATGAAGCTGACTGATGAGAGATTCAAGACAGATAAAAGCACATAGTTAAATGAGAGAATTCACTTCCAGAAGATGTAGTGATGGCCACCAACCTGGATGGCTTTAAAAAAAGACTGGACAAGTTCAGAGAAGATGGACTATTAATGGATGCTAGTCTTGATGGCTCTCTGCTATGTGTGAACAAACTGATGGACAAGAATGGTCCGATCCAGCAGGGTTCTGCTTCTTTGCTAACCATTCTTTAAGAAGTTCATTCGCCAACACTTTATTCTAGAGTTGGAATACTAATAAAGATTTCTCCAAGAGTCAGCAGCTGGGAACACCCCACCCCAACCTTAAGAGAACCCCAGGCCTTCTCTATGCAACTGTGTGCAACGCACACCACACACAGGACCTGCTGTTTTGTTTGCAGAGACTATCCAATTTGATTTGATAACAGTAAGCTGCTTACCTGCGTAGCTCAGTATATGGTATCTGAATGACCTGGAAATCTGTGAGCAATCTGGTTTAGGGGTGGGAATCCTCAGCTCACCCCTCCAGACTAGTGGCCTGCTTTCTCTCTGCCCTAAGTCCACCTTGTGCAGAGTGCTCAGGTGAGTCTGCAAGGCCAGCTTGCACACCTACGACTTCCTGCCCTCATGTCTCCTGGGCAAGCAGAGTTCTGCTTCCACACATGTGACTTGCAGTCAGCATAAAGCCTTGCAAAAGGATTATGAACTTTGCATATCTTGTGCTAAGGAGCCATCAGAGTTCCCAAGCATTTGATATTGGCTGAGCTTGCTTCCTGGCCATGACCGAGCATGGGAAAGGAGTGCCACCAGCACAGGAAAGCAGGATTCCTGCCCAATCCCTAGAATGAACCCACCTGGAAAAGCCATGGGCTGCTTTAGAGGTATGAGACATGGCAACTCAGGACCAGGATCAGCATCCTGCTTCAGCGAC